TCAGACATGCAGACATTTCAGACATGCAGACATTTCAGACATGCAGACATTTCAGACATGCAGACATTTCAGACATGCAGATATGGAACGGGTTCCCCAAGCGAAGAAGGCAAACTGAGGCACAGCGGGCCTCAATGAACGACTGCAGCTTACCATCTACCCACTCTCGGAGTGTCCTTCCGGCGTATGAGAACACGAGATAAACAGTTGAAAGCTCATAGACATGGATTGCCTACCCTTGTATACAAACATTTGCTTTTTGGAACTTAGAACCGAGTCTATGGGGGGAATATGCATACTGCCGCTTTGGGAAGTCAACAGTGCGAAACTCGGACCGATTTCTTGTGAAAGCAGGTTGGTGTGTATGTGTGGCGGGTAATCGGCGATGCTCTCCAGGTAGACTGTCTTGGAAGTCGTGTGCCTTTGTATGTACTTTCATATTTGCGTGACCTTTCCTGGACAATAAACCTGTTGCATGACATTCCTCGCCTCGGGTTGTGTTCTACAGCACAGGACAATAGTATGCTGTACGGTGATATGACTTGGCAATATAGTATGATCTATCAATCATTGCGCGAATCACTACTCCTCACACGGCTTGGAAGCACACATCGATAGATCACAGGTAAACAAACGTAGTGTAGAGACATGAGGTATATACATTTGTCTCTCAAGTCGGACATAACGTCACACAGACCACAATATCTGGGTAGAAAATATATACAAAGAAAGATAGTGAGCAGTCTGAGCCTCAACTCCTCGAGTTCTCGAACGTGCAATTTACAATCCTAGCACAAGCCATTCTCCTCTACTTGAAGAGCTCTATGGCGTCGAGGATGACATTAGGAGCGAGATAGAGGTCGCCGCTGCTACCGCTAGCGACGTTGATAGTAATAGTGTTGTCACCATTCTTGAGCGTGCCGGCTGGGATAACGTAGTCGTAAACCTCTCCAAAGCCTCTGTAAGCGCCTCGAGTTACGCCACGGCTGTCGATCTTGGTCGGCGCAGCGGGCGTAGCAGCATTGTACGAGTTGATGGAAGCGGAGGGACGAGCACCGGTGAAAGAAAGCGTAGTACCAACACGAAGAGTAGCAGCGCCGCTGGCCTGGGTAGCGTCGAGCTTGAACTTGATAGTGAGAGGCGCATTTGAACCCTTGAAGAGCGCCATGGGAATGCTGTCGAGAGACGACGAGCCAACGGTGTAAGTCAAAGGACCCCAGGACGACATGCGGGAGTCGGAGGGGTGCATGCGGAGCTGCTTGTCTGCGTTGCGGAATCCAGTGGGCTGGCCGTCCCACTCGCCAATTTGCCAGATGGTGTTGCGGGACTGCGTCGACGCGGCGATGTTGGCCGTGGTGGCCTTTCCTGCTGATACAGTGACCGATGAGCTGCCCACTTTGAATTCCCCCTGGTACAGCACCTGCGTGTAGGTTCCGGGCTTCATCGCGGGGCTCGTGAAGGCGCCTGCGGAGTTGGCGTATGCCCAGTACTGCGCGTCTTTGTTGTACCAGTGCAGAACCCTTTGGAACTTGCTGTTGACACCCGTGGCTGTTCCACTCACGGTTCCGCGGCCAGAGGCGGCCACGTAGCCCTGGATGCCGAGTTCGGAGAAGAAGGTTGAGTCCATGGTCTTTCCATTGGGCACTCCAGAGCGAGAGAACTGGAGGGCATAGGGGCCGTGCAGACCCATGCGGAAGCTCTCGGTCTGAACATGGCCGCTGTTCATGTAGAAGTAGAGGTTGGTGGCATCGCCAGCGTTGTTGGTGTTGATGTCACGGAAGAAGGGGCCTCCAGAGCTGCCTTCGTAGGAGTACGAGTTCAAGAGGATGCAGGCGTGGATCGTATCGCTCTCTCGCTTCACACAGTGCGTGTAGTCGTCGATAAATCGCTCCGAGGAGTAGAATTTGGACCGTGTCTGGCCGTTGACGACGAAGACATCAGAGCCCTCGACGGTAGACGAGGATCCTGCGGTAGTGGAAACGGCTCCGAATGGGTACTCGAGCGGGAGTTTGCTAGACGACAGTCGAGCAATGAAGCGGAGCTCGCCAATGTCCGGCTCAGCGGTGGTGTGGGTAGCCATCCATATCGTGGATTCTCCAGAGCGAACGACGAGATAGTGCGTTAACGTGGAAGTGGTGCAGGTGATTTTGGCATATTTGCCTATTCAAGCATTGTGATTAGAGAGCGTCCGTAGATTGCAAGAAAGATCGACAACGTACCTGAGATTGTCTCAGACTTAACGGTAGCCGATCCAAGACCGGAAGAGATGTGCGATCCCTTTGCCTTATCCTGCAACTCCTCTCCTCTGTAGAGGATCGACGTTATGTCACAACTCTTTGCGTTCACTGTAAATTTCAAAGCATTGTCTGAGCCTGCATCGACTACAATATTATCTCCCGATTGGGTTATACCAAAAGCTGCGAATGCTGAAGCGGAGAAGGCGGCCGTGGCCAGCAAAGCCGATTTGAAAAACATGATTGGAACTACGAATCGAAAAGAGTGAATGCAGTGAATTACCGCCCCATTGAAAGAGAAAGACACTGCATTGTATATATCACTGATTCAGTGGTATATTCTTCCATTGAGGATGTCTACCGGAACTAATTGTGCCGAGACCCTCTCATCTCCGCACCCAGCATTGCGCCACGCGATATCTCCAGATTGCGACCCCATGATCTTGATATAGATGGCGATATTAGCTTCCGCGTTGCTTTATTAGTTGCACAGCGGTTCAGTAACCCGGGTAGATGATCCCTAGATTGACATTTGACCCGGGTCTTCTCCTCGCTACCAAAGTTCAACTGCATCTCAACTTTGAGTGAGAGTGGATAGACGCTATTTGTTCCGGCAACACAATATGTTTTTCTACATTCAGATTGTGCAATCCTTGAAACGATAGTGGCGGAATAACATGCTTTGCAAAGTCTAGTTTGATTATTGTTTCAATATAAGGGCCTTGGCGTTGATACCCCTGGGTGTAATTAGTGGCGCCCCTATATTCTGACAGGTGGATACAAACGGTCCTTCCAGAAAACTGATACAATCCGCTGGCGGCCCGGAACATTTTCCTTTCCCTCTTGAAAGAGAATGGTGAATATATTCTGGGTGCCACAGGAAGCACCGCCACTCTACTTTAGGGTGAAGGTAATAACAGCTGCATCATATACTTTCCTATTGTAAAAATGCTTTCGCCAAAGGGGCTCTTGTATCTCTTGTTCGGATTTGATAGAGCAAGGATAGTCGCACCAAAGTACGCGAGGTATACTGTATTGTATTCTGTTGGAGTAATTCATCATCATTATGTAAAAGTGAACGCATAACTATCAATGCCAGGAAACGGCAAGTGTACTTCCCAAGTTCCTCATATTCTCTTCAATCTTCCCCACCAGGGCACTCGTTCTTATACAACGGGCTGACTTCCACCTGTCGACACCAAAGCGCCCATGGCCGAGCAACAGTTTCCTGCATGGATTCCCAGGCGTCATGAGCTTCGCCCTCTTTCAAATACTTGAGATCGCCTTCAGCTTTGACCTTTGCAGATTTGATTTTCCCTCCTCCTTCGACATCGATCTTGCCTTCGACAATATGGCCGAAGTGAGCATTCCGGATTGTTAACGCCGCTGTTTGCGCCTTTGCAGCTTCCCGAGTGTAGATGGCTTGGTATACAGCTTCTTCGATTCCGTGTGCCACAGTGACAAATCCATGCCCCTGCAGTAGAACGACTGCATGATCCGGTTCGCGAGAAGGGTCTGGAGGATTGCCTGCGATTTGGGTAGGAAGAGCGGAGCGAACTTTAGAATACAGGAAGCCTGCAGAGGTCGCTGGTTTGAAGGCTGCAGATAGCGATGCACCTAGAGTCGAGTCACGCACGAGGAGGTCATGCTTCGATCCGCTGGGGTAGTGCGATGCAGCGTCCCAGACAGGTACATTATTACCTTTTGATTGGATCAAGATTAGCGAAACGCAGTGGTTTCCCGGTGGGTGGGATCACTTACCAAGAAAGCCTGCCATGTGTATGGTAGCTTTGAGAGGAACACCACTCACACAATACGGTAGCACATCACTGCAATGGCTGTGTACCACACTGTTGATCGCTGGAAATCGCTTGTAGATCTCGCTGTGGATGTGTCTTTCCAGATACCCAGACTTTGAGCTCTTCTCTACTGGCGTAGCGTCTTCCACGTTGTATTCAATCAAATCCTCGGGAGTACTTATCAATGCTGGCGAGATATTGCAGGGCATCCAGAATGTTGCAGGGTTGTCAGGACTGCGCACTGAGATGTGCCCGTAGGCATCTAGCACATCTTCACGGTGAAGAATGTGGGAGGCCGTGACAAGTCCCTTGAAAAGGTCCTCAAGACCAACTTTCTCACGTTTCGGGAAGTATCCAGCAGACATGGTCAGTTCGTGAAAGTTGAGCGTATGAAGGCATGATGCACTGAAGGGAAATGGCTTGTGATGATGGTGACCGCATGCTCGATGACGTTTGGGCACAACCTTGCACTAGCTCACGCGCACCCACTAGCGAGCGGAGATTGCTCGGACACATCGTGACGGGGTCTTCTGTTATAATATGTATTTCATCTGTTAACCCTCTCATGTACCTTTGATATATAAGGTCCGGTCTTTCCTCCACATTAAGATAACTCGCCTCTATGAAGGTCATAGCTCAGAACCATGATATCCATCACTTCAGTTCGTCGAAGACTAACCCCTCTCCGTGGAAGCCTGAAGGGGGTGCTGAACCGAAAGTTAGATCTTCTGGGGTGGCCAGTGATAGAATCAAGATCGTTGACGCAAGGCTAGCAGCGTTTGTAGGAGACTGTGGCGTGCGCCAGCCCTCGTTGTACGGGAAACGTTCCTCTTCTGGTGGTGGATATAAGCTTAAGTTACCAAGTATTCATAGCAAAAACTTACTGAAGAGGGCATTAAGCCAGGCCAGCGGCACTGCTTGCTTTTTCGGGGCGGCAAGTACGAGAGAGTAGATTGCTGACTCCAAGTAGCTACTGAATCGCTGACTTGCTGTATAGGAGAATGCAGGGTTCTTGGCTTTCGCAGAGTTGATACGTCCCCTTATTACCGTTAGTGAATTGATTCGTCTTGATCAGAGCCAGTGTATCATAGCGATTGGCCTGCAAGGCGCAGCAAAATGCACTTTGATACTAAAGAGCAACTTACCAGCGACCTGCAGCTGCAACGGGAAGTGAAACATCCTGAGCACCACCGAAGTACCCTACGAACTCATCGAAGATCCCACTGTTGAAGGTAGTGGCGTCTCCACTTATGTTGAAGTCTTGACGCGAGAGAGATCCGTCGTGTTCGATGATGTTGTGCTTACTCAAGTCGTCGAGATTGAGCGTGGTAGAACCTTGAGGCACGGTTTGCAGAGCTGCCGAAGATACAATAGTTGCCACCTCCACACTGAAGTTCAGAGCCTCGGTCAATGCCTTGACAAAGATTGGGACTGTCAGGTTCTTTCCATCATGGGGCAGGATATTGTGATTTGCCTAGTCCGCTTGTCAGTGATTCTGTTCTCAGGTTTCTCGGCATTACTAGCTTTTGTGAAGTCGATATGACTTCACAAATCCGCCACACTTACCAAAGCATTGAGAGCAGGGCAAGGAGATCGTACGTCTCCATAGGCGGGCGGATGCCAGTTTCCGAAGTCAACGGTGGCTTTCACGACCGCAGCCAACGAGACTACCGCAAGTGACAGTCTCATGATGTGAGTCTGGTCAGTTAGGTGAATGAATTGCTTGGTCGACCAGTCTCGGGCTCAGGAAAGTATCGTAAAAAGGAATAAGTGAATAAAATGAGGAAGGAGGATAAGTCACAATAGTTATAGGCTCGTCGAATTGACGGTGAGCCGACGTTTGCTCTTACTTGGTAAAGTAAAGTAAAGTACCGGTGTGTAGCCTGGGGCGCGGTACCTCTAGATTAAAGACATGGGTCACGAGCGCGAACGGAATCCGCGATGAACATCCAGTTCATCTGCAATGGCCACGAGGCGACCGCGATTATGATTCGCAAGCAGTGTGGCATGGTGGTCACGAACCCCGGGTGAGCCGCTTCCGCAAACGTGAGTAATAACACTGCCTGCACAGAATGCACATAGTCAGGGACCACATTTCAAATACGAGGATTCAACAAGGTACGTAAACGAATGAAAATGATGATATTTGCAAGCATATGCAGGTTTGGAGGTCGTTCAGCGCTGACGGGGAGGCTGACGGCTGATCACTATCCTAGATGAGTAATGGTATCTATTTCCAATGTTACACAGAACCACGCCTTTATATATCTCTCCTAGGGTTCCCGTTGTGGCGGTAGACTGAATCAAATTCAAGGCGCAATGGTCCCTGATACTGTGCATTCAATTTTACTGCGTACATCTACTCGAAACGTTAAACCTCACAATTTGGATTTTCTCCTAATTTTGGCATGGTCCTTCGAAGACGTTTGCTGAGAATAGATATATCAATCAAACGGCGACATCAATCCTCAGGAGAAGGACTTCTGCAGATGGATGAAACAAATTTGCGCGCTGGCTCACGTTCTCTGCATCATCGTTCACCTTGCGGGCGATAAAAGATGTCCTGAAATATGGAAATGGTCGCAAATGAGCTTACAGCCATGACAAATAACCAGTATGAAGCTTTCTTTTGAAGACAATTGTCTATCTCGGCAAGTCCTCGTTTAATATGGTCATCGAAGACATCGAGGATGACTGGTTGATACTCGGAATAAACGACCAGCGTGTTTGAACGAAATATTCAATCTGTTTGAACTTTTACCGAGGACAAGCACCGATCATCAAGGGCTTTGTACAAAAGAAATTGCGGTGAGCCAGCATGGTAATGACTTCCTGATTCACTGAAAGTAGTTTGTGCGCATGAAAATGCTAGATATTCGTGAAGGGACTTGCCTCTTGGCTGTAAAGTACAATACCACGATTGTTCACCCAAACACTTGTATTATCGAAAAATTGTTGTACATCGGGGCTAAGCTTTCTATAAGTTCGTTTTAGAGGAATTTTCTGACATTATACGTATAAGTGCTTTGGCTGCTCTTGATGAAGTGGCGAGGTTTGCGCAGAGATCATGATGGCCTCAACATTCGTGAACCTAGAAATATATTCAATAACCACCTTGGGTTGCATAAAATTTTATTTTCTCGAGCCGCCTACCCTTTCTACATATTCTATAACTTGAACAAAGCTTTTGTTCTTCGTGGAGTGCCTTATTGCTGGTGATACAGTCAGCATATCCAAGCACTCGCACTTCGGATACACCATCGTGACCACTAGGACATCATGTATCCTCGCCTCATCGAAACGCTAAACCAATCTTCTTCTGGCATCACATTGAAACATCGAAATCTCACCCAAATAATCCATCCTCGATCCGAGAAACTCATGGGCCAATCCGCAATCCTACCAGCCCAACCCGATTTGAATAACTAACTCGTGCGAAACAACACCCCCAACACGGACCCTCATTCTTCAGCGTCTCAAGAAGAGCACAAGAGCGGCAATGAACACCCCACAAATCGGCCCAACCCGCAGGCTGAACCCAAATAGGAAAATGGGCATTGGAAGTGAGACGGGAGTAGAAGGCGGGATGGATGGAAGATAAGAATGTGTAGTTGGGATGGGGATTGATTCCAGAGCAAATGTTGGGGAAGTCTCGGCTTCCTCAATAAGGCAAGACAAATTTAAAGTTGTGAGAAATGTCAGACTGTTCAGTCCCGATGAGGAAATTTATCGAAGGATTGTAATGACGAGTGCAATGAGCAGCAGCCGGACGAATTTCAGTACATAGGAGACTCATGCAAAACGTCTTGCTTCTAGGAAATGACTGATTATATGCCAAGAAGGCGTTCACTACTTTCTATAACTTAATTGATGAACATAAGCTGCCTTTTCGTCCTATACGTTGACGATGGTTTAGCGCGTGGGAGGCAGCGAGGAAGCAGTCAGCATATCGGTGGCCTTATACTTTGATAATGAGGGGTTCCTTTCTCACGCTCGTGCCAGTCACAACTCTTTGTGCTACGGAGATATAAATTCCAAATACGTTTGGCATTCAGGATACATCGAAGACGTATATGATGACTCTTTCTACTTACGGTCAGGTTTTCGTGATCTTGAGGAGCTTCCGAGTCTTGTGACCCCATCACGAGTGTATTTTCACATTGGTCGTCACCTATCGGCATAAAACTCTCGAGCGAGAGAGGTTTCCATGCCTGTAAGCTTATATTTGTCGGTCACTCGGCTGACGAGGCGTTTGATGTTGAGCAGGGAACACTCCCATATTTTGCATCCAAGGCTTTGATCTACGTCAAAATTGCCCAACTGTGGGCATATGTAGACATGTCGCAGTTGGTATCCTGAAGGGGCACTGGTAGTTCCAAAGCAAATGCACCCGACTTTCTAGAGACGTTTGAAGGCTGTCTCTTCTGGTGGGACGGTTGAGATACCGCATCGTACAAGTTACTCAGGGCCAGCGCGCAGACTCGTACCCAAGATTGTTACGTGGCTCAGATAGCGAGGTATTGACGACTGAGCTGAACTCCATCTTTTTCGCGAGCTGAGTGGCCATTGGACGGAGACGAAGAAGTGGAGCGATCAATATATCTGGTGTGTTTCATGTTTCTTTAACATGATGGTAAACCTGCAAAAGGGGGTCCTAGGAATAGCTATCGTTGCAACAAATCGATTCAGACTGCTCCTCGAGGAGAGCGCTGGATGCAAGAACGCGTATTAAAGGAATACATCATTTGTAGACATAAATAGAACCGATAGTGTGGTGACTCGCGCGCCGATGTTTATCGTTAGCCAAACGCTTTGTTGCACCGCACTAGTGATGTTCTACTCCACTCGCAATAGTCCGCCTGCAAAATAACTGTGTATGGTCTGGAGAATACCACACGGTGGTCGATAGCTGAAAGATTTATCGAAGATATCTTACGTTGCTCAAAGTTTCGTTTGACGATGTTTTTCAGCTATACCCTGCTTTGTGGCTTGAGCCAAATCATCGTATCGTCTACGGCGGCCATGCAATCGAAACATGGGTGGAAGAGAGGAATGATCTGCTCGGATTTCTTTCTCTATTTGAGACTCTACAAGGACATAAAGTAGCATCTTCAATGCGAATCGAAGGAAGGGTGACTAAACCAAAGTGATGGCACCAACCTGAACGCTAGATTAAAAACGAGTTGCATGCATGGAGGAGAAATACACTGAGGGCCTGAAACGCCGAGACATGCAATGGTGTGGTCAAGGCAAGGCTTACGAATCAATAAGCGGAGCTTTGCGCATTCTGACAGAAGTATCGACTTGTAATAACTCGGAAGGGTAAAGGGCGCTGCGACCACGAGCTGAGGGAAGTACCGGCCTCAGTGCTTACATCGTCGTGATATTGCGGGGATATTACTTTTACAACCAGAGTTGAATGATGGACCGCAACGTGGGACGCAAAAGGCAATTTAGGCGGGTTTTTTGGGGGCGGTATTAAATGCGAAAACACGGGAGAACTGCGATGCCATCTATCCACTAGCCCGTCGCCTTGTCGAAAGCGACATCCTTTTCAAAGACGGTTCCTGATGACGGAGGTTTGTCATCCCGGTCTGACGCCCATATGCCGTATACAAATGCTTCGCTCAGCAAGAAATAGCGGAAGCGTTCCTGGTTACTCAATTGATACATTCAATAATGGCTTTACCAATTGGTTATAGATTGTTGTGTTCTTCGTAGGAGGTGTTATATATATACGCACGCTACACGGGGGTTAGTTCATTTTGGTTCGGGCACTACTGGACAAGGTGGCAAGCGGCTCTGGGTGCTTCCGTTGGCTCGGATCAATCGATAAACCAATGCTCGTAACAAGCCATTGGCTCGTGTTCGACAGCCCATTGTCGAGCAGTAAATCAAGACTTGTGGCAGCTGATTGCAAAAGGAGCTCGGATCTACAAGGGAGAACGAGGAGAGCCGTTAGGGTCAAAGAGGCGAGTGGGAGGCGGATAGACTACCCGGGTGGGGCATGGCAGCGAGAGAGGAGGCAAAGAAACATGTCGATGATTGATGGAGACGTTTGGTCGTGTATCAATTGATCATGGATGTTGGATGTGAATGGTTTAATAAGGCGAGCTCGAGGCGAATAAGCTCGTACCGCAACGCACGAATGCAGTCTGGTAAGGCGATCAACTGGAAATAGCACAAGCTTGAATCGTGACCACATTAACTCTCAGAATGTCACTATTCCACAACCAGCGCTGTTACGGTTGTGTGGTGGGTTTCGTGATGATGTTGCTCGCAATACGTTGTGCCTCTGCATGAGTTCGATAAGGGTCCATCTACCTCAGAGGTGTGCTGAACGCTTGTTTCTTTTTCTTGTTAAACAAAACGGGCAAAGGGGCTCGAGATGGCTTTAAGCTGTGAGCATCGTTATGCTTGATTGGCGTCGCAATCTGAAGCTCGTCGTTCAGGCTGAGGCAAAGATCCAATAGGCGGTCAGCTCGCCGCTTCAGGTGGTGGCTGCAGGTCAAATCGCCCACTCAGATGGCCAAAGCGAGGCTGACGCCGGGCTGAACTCAGCCTCGTGCGCGCAACCTCCACCCATAGTCGCAAAATTCGGGGATAATCAGGCAGAAGGTATTTGGCTCCGCCCAGCCCCCGCTGGCCCCCCGATTGACAAAGACTCAACAACAAGGTCGGATACCTTCTGACGTTTGGATGCATGCCAGCACATTCGAACTACTGTTCCAACACGATACGGGATCCTTCATTGCCACCTCGCGCCGTTGGAACGGCAGCTATCGCCCCACCAAACGCTGAAAACCGAGTTCCGCGCCTGTCCGGCTGGGGAATGCTTCGAATTTCGTGTGTTACAGACAGCCTCGCCCCTTTCTCCAAAGCAAATGCCTCCGAAGAAATCGAGTGCGAAGATGAAAGAGGACGAAGACGTTAGTGTGCCCGCTGGGAACGAATTTATCGAGCCAAAGGAACCGCACTTGACCAAGGAAACCGTTCTGACACCACCAACTAATTCCGGAACCCCTACGACATCTCCCACTTTTCAAGCTCCATCGAAAACACCGCCGAGGAGAGTCGTTCGACTAAAGTGTCCAACCTGCAATGATTACCCGGATGGCTTCCGTAGCGAGCATGAACTACGTCGCCATACGAATCGCGTTCACAGAAAGACGCGCAAGGTCTGGGTGACCATCGACACTTCGCCCGACAAGTCTTTCCTGTCCAATTGCAAGGCCTGCCAAACTGGAAAAAGGTATAATGAATGTTATAATGCTGCGAGCCACTTACGCCGAATGCACTTCCACCCGCACAAGCGTGGGGAGCGAAAGATGACGGCAGCAGAAGCTCGTCGAGGAGGGAAGCCCGGCGATCTAGATCCGCCCATGGAGTTACTGAAAGCAAATTGGTTGCGGGAAGTAGAAGAGTTCGTTGGCGAAGCTGGTGACGAACCGCCCGGTAGTGAAAGCGAAACCGCACCGCCGACACCATTTCCTCAACCGCCCCAGGCGCAGACACAACCTACTGTGAAGCAGGTCGACGGGAAGGCACCGCTCACCCCAACGACTCCGTCAACCCGATCCATGGCAATCGAGAGTATAGTCGACAAGGTCGATGCCACATAGTGTCCATGAGAAAGATTTCCATTTAATCTTGCGGATCACCCATTCCTCTGTTCTTTCATAGAGCTTCGTGCGATGAGTGACAGAATGGAACTAGGAGATACGAACCGCAGGTGTCCTTCTGGTATGGAATATGCAAAGATTCGTTGGCGAGGGCGTTCAGCTTGGATGGGGCCAGTAACAATATAAGTGGATATGGTTCTTGCAGCGATGGAGGGAGCAACTGCTTCGTTCAACTGAAAGGAAAGAGCAGGAATGCAAGGGGCACAAGAAGACTCCGGTTTAGAAAAAGCATCTAGCAGGCGCAAGGTTCGGAGAACCAATGGACTTGTGTGCATTTATAGCACTTGAAAAGGATCCCAGGCCGCTTTTCAGCTTAGGCTTGAAATAGGATTATCAGCAATAAATGAATGAACGACTTAACGACTGAACGAATGATTGAATATCGAAGTTTCCCGTTGATTTGTCGTTGGTGACACAATCGTTTCCTAGGATAGCTCTTTGAATATGGTGGCACTGGTCGAATGGCAACGGTCAGTAAGTTAGCAGTTTACCAAACTCCACGATCAGCATTGGACGGTATTTGGTGTGCAAGAACAAATCCCCGCGCACGAGGACACATCGGCATGTAGGTAGGTAACGATACGCAATCAGAAGGCATTCCTGGATGGTGTGGAAAGGGCAAGCTTTGCACGAGGGGACATGAACAGGAGAGGAAGTACATATTTGTGATGTTGCCACGCGAAAATAATGGGTTGAGCAGAAGGAAACACAAAAAGAGAGGGGAAAACAAAAGGGATGAGGTTGAATTTAGAACCGCTGGTTCGGGTCGGTTGCAGGTGCGGATGTTGGAAGTGGGTGGAGGTGGAGGTGGTGGTGGACATTTGCCCTTGTCGATCTGTCTCGTCTCGTCTTGTTCCCTTGTTTGTTGTACTCCAGAAGTCCAGAGCCGCTTCCTAGCGTCCGTGCACCAAAATTTTCAGCATTTCGCCTAGACCGTACCTTATCCATCATTATATGTCATGTACAGCACAAACTCATCAAATTGCATCACATCCAGCAAGCCAGGCCTAAACGTGCAAGTAAATGTACTCCTACAGCTGAGATCTAAATCAGTGCTGAGGAAGAGCAGCCACAAAGTCAAGGCTCACCGAGGATACTATCATCACTTGCAACCAATCTGTACCCGCAGGGCGCCACGCTGTGAGCTCCCGTATCGTCGAATGCGTTTCTGTCTGGCGTCAGCGCTTCACTAGATCTTCTCATGATCTAGTTCGCAAGGTGCCATTGAAACATGCTCGTCCATCGCCAGGATTAACGCTGCGCTACCCTGCCCCAGTGAACATCGACCTCTAGCATCTCGAATTGCTGCGCACTGTGTTATATTAGGCAAGTCTTCACACTTTGTATTACATTATAAATGTGGACGGCTCCGTTCGTTTCCATCAGACACGAGGCAACTCGTTTGTCTAAACGGCATCTCAATCTATTCTACGAAACAGTCGACCAATTGACATCTTCTTCGCGTGTTGCTCGATACTTAGACTTGAAGCGGAATTCCGTCAATCTGGGCGCTTTGTATACACCCAACAAAGACTCCATAGGAGGTTGGGCCTATATGCAAGACGGGTCAATCTACATTCAAGCTTCTGGATATGTTTCACACGAGGTATTCGAGAACCACATGCGCAGGGCGCAATCGTATTTTGAAGTCTCCAAGAGATCAGGAGACTCAAGTCGCAACCCAGAAGCTCGGAAGCAAATAATTATTCAGTCCGTGACCACACTTCGAACTATCCAAGATGCACAGCTAACAATGGTATACAGACTCATATTTCCGTCTTCCAGCCAGACTTTAATTCACCACCGCTGGGCTAAAGACCGTGAGGAATTTTTCAATAAGAGATTCGTGAAACTTGACCCAACTTCCCATGTCTTACCGGGTTCGCCCGTCAGTTTGCGTAGCATGAAGCCTCTGGTGTATCGAGCATTAGAGACCTTCAGGGGAACGCTCATAGACGGAAAACTACAGCCCAATGTACGACTAGGCAATGGACTTGTCGGCTTGTACACAGGCGAACCAAAGATCATGATCCCATATCCCGCGAAGACAACTATGGCTAGCAGAAGGTTACTTGTACAACAATCCAAGACCGCGCGAGTGGCCCTTCAAAATGCCAGAGAACAGGAACTTGAATTACGAGAACAAAATCTACATCTTAGTCTTGAGAATTTTCGTCAAACATCAAAGGCTGCGCGGGTGGCCCTTGAAAATGCTAGAAAACAGAAACGAGTAGCTCTTAAAAATGCCAGAGAACAGCAACTCGAATTACAAGAACAAAATCTACATCTGAGAGTTGAGAATGTTCGTCAAAAATCGATGCTCGAAGGTCAAAACGAGACGATTGGGAAGCAAAAGAGACAAAGGATGGGTCGCAATGATAACACGAAACGTCGAGCCCTTCCAACGGTAGAATCTCTGGAAGAACTTGGCTATAAGATGGAGGAGGGCCATCTAGATCCGCCGAGCGACGACACTTTAGATCTCTATGGCTCCCAAACCCCTCGATCACTTTCGAGGATAAGGGAACGCCATTTAAACAGATGAGATTCTCGCCATCTCCCACGCTTCAACCTTTCGTTTCTCTGGGAGCTTGGAAATTCACTTACAGGCAGGAACCATGTTGTCAGGATGATGTCCTTGGTCCGCTTGATCAAAGGTTCCGAATCACTTTGCTTTGAGAATCGAGTGAAAGAAGCGTCGAGCTATTCCTCGATCATCGCTACTGCTCCATGGGTTTTTCGTGGAGTTGGATCCTTCTGTGCTCCACTACAAATCGTCATACTAATAGATATGTCCACCGATGTACCTCAAATGGTAACGACAAAGGCGTTTACACAACCCTGAGGGCGTCGTTGTGGCCTCGCTTCGAAGCGCAAATATCTTCGTCTCGTGTGGAAGAGACGGGGAAATGTTTATTCTCTGTTTGTACAACAAATTAAGATAATTACTGTACTATAGTTACGAATGTAAAGCTAGAATCATGCTCATTCCCTGTCCTCGGAGTCGCCGCTCATGTATCACATGCTCGTTCATCTTGTAATTGATGTACAGCATGTCACAGTGCAGCAACGTGCTGGGCGCATTTACATTGCCATCTACAACCGATTTCCTCATCTGCACAATCGTTCTAGACCTTACTCTGGCCAACTCAATTGGCCTCGACTTCCTTACCAAAAAGGTATAACGGTAGAACTATTACATTATCCGTCCGTGGGCGTAGCTTTGCCACATTCGAATAGAGGGCACGGTCCGAACGTATACAACAGAAAGAGAAACTTACTTTCGGGAGGCGTTGTCAGAATCTTGACAGCTCGACCGGCCCTGCGAGCATCTACTCGTCCCTGACTCGGATACGAGGAGGCGTCGAGCTGTTCTCACAGGATGCGGCCTTGGCAAGGGGCGAGAATGCCCCCGTTGGTGGAAGGATAACAGACACACATACGCGCGTTGCGGCATGGCGGACCGAGTCAGCACTTGTGTCGCGGGAAGGATGGAAGGAAGGAAAGTTGGCGGCGATGGAGTTGTTTTCAGGTACTGCACCGTTCGGAGCACTTTTGTTCGAAGGTAAGGTTGAGACTCGAGATTCGGGGATGGAAAGGAATAAAATGATCAGAGGGCGATTGTCTGGGGTCCGGAATAATTGCGTACATACAGGTTCGTATTCGCAGGGGATCATTAGTGCTATCTGATGTCGTGTGCGAGTTGGAAGGTTTCGAGACATGGAATGGTTGAAGAATACAAAATACATGCGTGCGAACATGTGGCTGTTCCTCCCGCCCACGTGGAGTTCTTCACGCTTCTACCGTCGCCGATCTTTAGATCGAAGGAAAAAGCAATGATCATCAGTTTGTTCTTTGACAGTGCGGTTTCCCTACAATGCATTCTCGTCTCTAGCCAGTGCAGTTTGTAAAATGTGACGAACAGGCACTTGATTCATGAGTACGATCCCCTACGAAGGGTTTCTTGATCCGTCACGGCTAACTACTCAGTCATCGTATGTTGTGGTTTTTCCGAGCAGCCAAGGCGGAGAATGATTCTGGTTAAGTATCATAGCTTGGATGTGATACGAAGTGTTTAGCAAAAAGACGTGCTTTGCTTGATTATCTTGGTGTTCACATCGCTTCCATGCACACCCTTCACACTGTGAGGAGAAAGGTTCTCGGAAGAAACCAAATCCATTGCGCTCTCCCAGTCGGACAAGATATTCACAAAAATCAAAGTCCTTGGATTCGTTCACAGTTCCAATAAACTTTGAAAACGTCGTCAGCCCAGCCAGCCTTCTTGGCCTTGACCTCGAGTCACAAAACCTCGCGTAGATAAATGCAATGGATTGAGTGGGTGTGCCGAATGCCGGCATCGAGTTTGATCGACTCCATTGTAGCCATGAGTCGACAGGCACAGTAGTGGCGACTTGATCGTATTTCTGGAGATACGCAGCTCTTGGCCATTCAACTTGGCCTGGGGTTAGTTATCACAGAAAGTTTTGAGTGTTGCAGGTCCGGGCATGTACGAGTAGCAAAGAGAGTCATGGCAGCCGTTGAGGAGAACCATGATATCATTGCATATAGGATGAGACAACAACAAAAGTCTTCATTGGGCGTGGATAACCATCAAGTTCTACTCGACCGCCAGTATCGATAGGCATCGGTCGCATGTACTCGTAGCATTGACAACTGCTGCTTCTCTCAAGGGTTTGATGCAGTCAGCTTGAATCTCCGCACAACCGCAAGCCGGGTACAGTTTTGCTAAAAGGCTTGATCCCTCAAGCAAAAGAGGTGAGTTGACCATGTTTGGTAAGGTCAGGTGTAAATCCAGTGTGACATATTGCAATTTATTGCATCCAAGGCGATGGTCTGGGTTTCAAGGACCTCGCCTTACTAGACTACGACAGGAAGTGAGCGCCGGTAGTGCCACGCGGGGTACCAAGTACACACGCCTCTTAGATACGTACCTGTTACACAATGCTTTGCTCACACCTGAGGCGAGATTCGAGAAAAGACTCCTGGGAATAACTTGGTGTCTCCTCTCCTCTCTCCTATCTTACCCTGCGATGGAGCTTCTCGTGCGGATGTTAGGCTTCCCGACTTCAATAGGGACGCGCAATGGCAATGTCGGTGGTACCCTAGTGTCGAAACCGCCGATGAAGGACGATGGCCGGCTCCGAATGCTACCTCATAAAAACCCACTTCTCCAGGATTGATGCGATGGAATAATGGTCGGAGGAAAAAGTGAAGACGTAGCAGGCAGTGGAGATTGTAGTATCCACAGTAGATCATCTATGTTGGGAAGGGATGCATCCAACTCCTGGTAGACTCCACCAATGGTGCTGTAGATCGTCAAACCCACCGCGTGGAGCAGCGATTCCCCTACCCTTCTGAGCGTTATTTTAGAGAACCAGTCATTAGTCGATGCTTGTCACAACAACTCAAGTTCTGTCAACTCAGCAATGGGGTAGATGGGCACATGCAGCCCTGGCGAAAGTGTCCCAGTGCATGGCCCCGAACTTTACCTTCACATCAATACGGATTTTGTTTCCACCGATGCAGGAAACATCACCACGTGATGGGCCAAGGAGGTCGCGTACACTCAACCGGCTTGGGAGGATGTACTGTGTATGTACCCTCGGTCGACTCGGTCCTTTCCACTGTCCAGTCCACTGGCCACGCCATTATTGACCCCTACTGTCAGACGCGGATCAAGAATCATCAACGTCGGCTCAGGGGTGTTTACATGCGGAAGGTGGTCATGAGCGCGCGGCTCACAAGGCATTGAGATACCAGTCCACAGCCCATGGCTACCTGAAATGTAATGAAATCACCAGCAAGGGGGCCTCAGACCAATCCTACAAGCCTGGTCGCCGGAGGTTACCTGGTCTTTGCCCATTTCACCGCCCTCCAGGACCTCAACACCACATGTCAAAGGATTCGACTGAAGACAGGCTGCCGGGTAATACCATCCGTGCTATTGGCATTAGGTATTATTTCCTCTACTATCGTCGTTGCGCACACCGCTAGCCAGTTGTGTAGGAACGCATGTCTGATCCTATGTGATCGACAACGAAACCTGCCTCCAGAGCGACAAAATCAGAGATAGTGCCCATACATTGGGAGGTGGAGTGGCCTGTAGGCAGAAAATGATTATCTACACCATCGTGCCATCCTCGGAATGCGGCACCCACTTTTGTGACAATTGAGTATTATTCCACCTGCCGGATAGCATCGGTGAGAAGCACGTTCAGTCATCGGGCCGTAATGAAGGGATTTGATCCCAAGGTCAACAACAACTCGAAGGTCTAGCGAGTGAAAGGGTTGGTGGTGACCCCTGAATCGCGTAGTGCGTAGTGTGTAATGCAGAGAAGCACAGAAGGTCTCGTGTCATTGGTCAGTGTGTGAAGTAGCTCGACCTCCCTCCCCCACAAACGTCTGTACTGGCCCTGCTCTGGAGGATCAATCCACAGGGGGGCTTCTCCGCACCAAGAGTAAATACTGTTCAGTAGGCAAGTCTGGGCCTGGGGTTGAGAGTCAAGCAGGATTTGCAACGGACGTCCCGGATTCTCCTTGTTCTGTCACTTGTGTATCACACCTATCTGGACGTGTACAAACACAATACATACCTAGGAACACAACAATAGGTACACATGCTATTCAATGGCGTCTTAACACCAACAGAATATTACCTTATTGATAGATTTTGTTCTATAGAACAATTAAACCGTGCCCCTCTCTGGCGTGAGCATAAAGTCAACCGAGGATCGAGGGACGGTGCTGACAGCGCACTGCTGTCAGTTCGAAGACGATGCACTGTGATGCGAAGGCGGATAGCTGGGCCGTGAAGAGGAAGATAGAGAGGGAGCTGGATGGTAGACCAAAGGGAAAGAGGCATCTGGATGTATTTCCCTTGTTCTAGTCCCTTCGACAATATTGTGGTAAACCACCAGCCTACCGTATTCCACAAACTCGTAATCACAGTTGGTTAGGCATTTGTAACTACTTCTCGTATTGTAGCCTCGTTCGTAAGCGACAAGCGCGTGTAAATTCCTTGCCTGTTATACAAAGTACAAACTTCGTATCAACGTTCTACAAACTGGCTTCTCTCTGATGTATCCGACATTGTTTTCCACGTGGTGGCGTTTGTGGCAGTCCTATCCGATATCTCTTGAGGCTTTCCATACGAATCACACGACTCAAGCAAACCTCAGATGCAATAACGACACACTTAACAGAACGACCAACGCCCTAACAGTGCACGCTAGGTAGCCTGTAAGATGGTTGCTTGGCCACATTGAGGTAGTTTCTTGTACTCGTCTGGCATTCCCTGCAACGGCCAGGCCGTCATCGCCGTCGTCGTGGTTGGAAGAACATGGGCAGGCCTTCAATGTGACTCTTGGCCGTGTCCCTCTCCTACGACCATCCCTTCTCCATACCATCCCCCAGGTCCCCCACTACCCGGATCGCCCTCAGGAATATATTGGCCATTCCGATATTCTCTCGTCTCTTGCATGGAGGACAGGGATGGGTTTGTCCAAGACTAAATAGACTTTAGGCCACGCCAGGCGTGCACCTAGCACGTTTCTTAGCTGCCGTCAGTTTGCTGCACCTGCATAACACGCCCTAGTCAGTGACAGGTTCACACATGGACCTCCTGCTTTCTTATTATGGCGTCTGTTCGCCCGCATCGCCGTGAATGTGATTCTACTTCTGTGTCTCCAGATTTGCATTTCTTTGTTGTCCTACAAAACGCCATTATATTCCTAACGTCTGCTTTGGTCTCCTACGCGTCCACGGTTTCCTTGTTAGGACAGCCGCCGATACCTCTTTCGAGTACACCCAAGCCACGACAACCTCCACACTCACCATAATCATCACAAACGTCAATTTCGAGTCCTATTGCAGTCATCGTATACCTATTCAAACAAATCCATCAATACCGAATTGGCATACGCCTCAGTCGCCTATCCCTCCCGGAGAGGTTTCAGACCAAAGCGTACAAGGCCATCGCCTTCACCTAAGCCTATTGTGCCCACAATCGCTATTATTATCACCATGGCATCTTAAATTTCACACAAACCTCGCTTGACTCTACTTAATTCGACATTCCTCGATAGTTTCAACTTGCCGCCAACGGTCCTGCCGCCGCCATGTCACCAAGTGCATTCAACATGGACCTGCACAACCGGGCTGAGGTCGCAAAGCGATATTTTGCCTACCCTAACAGTCTAGACCCTCTGACTCCCGTATTCAAGCAGGGATTGATTCCAATTGCACTGTTCGCCATGCTATCTCTCATCTCTGTAACGGCACTCTTGGTCTTCATCACCCATAGACTTGTCTCCTGGCGCAAACACTACAAGGAGTACGTTGGTTACAACCAATACGTCATTCTTATCTATAATCTTCTTCTGGCCGATCTCCTACAATCAATTGCATTCGCCATCTCCTTCCACTGGATGCGAATCGGAAAAATCCTCGCGCCCACTGTACCCTGCTTCATACAGGCTTGGTGCCTTCACCTTGGTGATGTAGCCAGCGGCTTTTTTGTCCTTGCCATTGCAATCCACACATGGCTCGGCGTTGTCAAAGGTTACAGGATGCCTTACAAGTGGTTCGTTGTTGGCATCCTAGGCGTTTGGATAGTCGCGGTTCTGCTCACCATTCTTGGACCCGCCATGTTCGGTGACAAATTTTTCACCCGTGCTGGAGGATGGTGCTGGGTTTCAATCGATTTCGAACAGGAGCGACTTTACCTACACTACCTTTGGATCTTCATTGTCGAGTTTGGTACAATGGCAATCTACGGTCATGTCTTCATTCATCTCCGAGGCCGCATTCGAAGCATCATGAACAACGACACCACTAAACTGTCCCGAGCCACCAAGTTCATGGTCCTGTACCCTCTAGTCTATGTCTTATTGACACTGCCTATCGCAGTAGGCCGCATGGTTGCAATGACTGGCACTGATATGCCCGACGTATTCTTCTGCGTAGCCGGTGCCCTCCTCACTTCCTGTGGCTGGATTGACGCCTTGTTATATGCGTTGACTCGCCGTGTCCTCGTAACAAACGAACTCTCAACCGGTGGCTACACCTTCAGCCACAACGTGACTGCCTTGACCCAGGATGTCACGCGACCAGGCGACACATACGGTCTCCATTCTATCAACAAAGAAACATCAACCGGTCAAGCCCGCACAGTGACCATCGTCGGTGGAAAATCAAACCGCATATCAAGACTCGTGGATCACCGTCGAGGCCGCAGCGTCACGCGTGACAAGTACGAGCTCCACGAATCCGTAAGAGAAACCAGCCCAACAGGCTCCCAAGACTCCATCATCAAACCCAACGTCAACGCCATTGGCATTGTGACAGAAACCACCGTGCAAATCGAGACAGCTTCTCCAGGCGAGAGGTCCTCTCCCTCAACCGAAGACCCCAATCGCTTTGCATCGACCTCGCGGAATCAGAGCGATAGCGCCTTCAGTGTGGATCTGGAGGACAATGAGCGCAAGCCTACGAATTTCCTTAAGACTTCTTAAAGCCCTAAGCTTTTCACTACCTATAATACTTTAAATGGCCTTTCCTACGTAGAGGGAAAGAAATAACAAATCCGAAAGAAATCCACCATATCCAATGACCACGAAAAATCCATTGTTTTCTTCTTCCTGTAACTGTAAACCATTTCTGCTCAAATGCAACCGGCCAACCACATTTCGCACGAGCTCTGGTGCTCACATGCACGGGGGGTGGGCGTCTTGGGAAGGAAGTTGTATGTAACTGTTCCTCGCTGGCCAATGCGTTTCTTGCTTACTGCATGCATGCATGGCTGCTGCATTGCTTGCTATGATGTCTGGTCTTCTTTATGTCGTTGATGTATGTATATACCCCGGTCTCGAATCACATCCTGTCAAATCTTACTTCCTCTTTGATCTGCATGCACTTTGCCCGCGCATCTGCGAACGCTATAGGCGACCGTTTTTCCCATGAGTGCATGAAGGCGTTTTATGGTACTTGTCTTGCTATAAGTGGCTTCTAGATAAGAAATGTGAGGAAGTAGCAGCGTTGCCCTTTTCTGATGATAGGGATTTTGTAGCATCGCTTTTTTGTTAGTGGACATGTTGGGTTTTACTTGAGGAGCCTGGGGGTTTGTGGTCATCTTGCGAGGTTCCGAATCAGCCTTGTGAACTGACCGATTTTAACTTAACTTTTTGATATGAAAATTCATAGAAATTCATAGAACCATTTACCACGCTCTATCTACCTAGTTTTCACTTATTTACGCAAGTACTGAACTATTCGATCATTTCCCCCTACGCACCAGCAATCAATTTCTTGAAATTCACGTCTTTAGTCACATGTTTTCCTCTGTTGTCTCTAACCCCCTAATTTTCCCTGACCTCAACATCACAATCTCTTCTTCTATCTAGATCTCTCTCAGAACATCCGACCCCTCAATGTTTCGACCTTGAAGAAACCTCCCAGTGGCAGTACCGTCTTCCCTATATTGTTAAGTCCTATCAAAAGGCCTCAGTATGTGCAAAAGTCGCCCATGCTGTGTTGCGTAGTTCGCGATATTACAAACTGCGATATTACAAACTGCGACAGTATACATCATAGTCATGACACTATCGTTTCATTCTGATTTCTTTGACGTTTTGATGTTCTGGTTTTGATGATATGATACGGTAAGACTTTGTCGTCTTCTCGACAAAATTTATTTTATATGATATACGCATGGTTCATAAATGGTATCGAGTATGTAAATAAATTATATTGTTACATTTGAAAATAACAAAATCAAATGAACACGGTATCTGATTTTCTTCGCCATACACGCATGGTTGATGTATGCTGACGATAACGGCACTCTACACATACGTGGCCCGCCAGATCTGTAATCTCTCGAGTTTAGAAGAGATGCTGGAGTCTGGATTACCTCATTACTTGTAAGGGGATAAATGAGGGGGATAATATATCACTGTAACAGTTGGGGACTTAAATGGGAGAGGACTCCAGACCGAGGTGCTGGGTAGTATGTGTTGGTATGAGTTTGGATCTGAATGTTGGTAACTGGGTGGGTCTTTGGTGTTTGGGATATAGAGGATGTGATCAACTAGCAATGGAACCATGCCAATTGGTTTTTTGTTTAGGGCTTGTAAGTTCAGAGGATATGTGTGGTACGTTGGCAGGGATCATGGCTTGTGAAGATCGAGTTTGTGATTATGCTTCGGGTAAAACAATAGAGTGAGAGTGTGTGACCGAATGGTCTTTACGAAGAATTTGTTGTCGTACATCAGTAAGACTGAGATGCATCGTCAAGTCGGCGGTTGTAGGCAAATGTATCGCTAGAAGTCGATGATGGGCTAAGGGTAAGTAGGGACTGGCAGTTGGTATCTCATTGGCATGGAGGGTAACTATACGCCATATAGGCACACTGGTATTGTCTGTCGAACAAGTTTCATAACATTGCCGCTTTCATATGCTATTGAAAGAGCAGACCAGATAGAAAAATTTGTAAGTTCCGTGAAACCCACGCCATGAACCAATCCGTATCCCATTTTTGCTTGCACCTTGATTCTCCCACTTTCTCCACGCTTAGATCGTTGTCTCGTACGCAATAGGGGCGATGCTCTCGGGAACGTTGTCAGAGAAGCTGACGACCCTGGAGTCGCGGGGTGCGGCGGGCTGGCGCTTCAAGTGCTGGTGGACACCCTCGGCCTTGGCCTTCTGGGTCTTTGCGTAGTTCTCCTTCACACGCCTGAGGAAGTCCTCACGGGAGCGGGAGAGACGGACGTGCTCGATGCGGACGTTGATGCGCTTCTCCATGTATCGGTTGCCGACCTGCTTGTAGCTGCCCGCCGTTAGTACTTTTTTTTCCGGCTATTTCCTCAGTGGATAACGTACAGGATGACACCAACAGCGGACTTGGTGACGTTGTAGATGACACCAGTCTTTCCGTGGTAGACCTTGTAGGGCATACCCTTCTGAACGGCACCTGTTCCCTTGTAAGTCCATCATCTCCAAATTTCGGTTTCCAAAGCGAGTGTTTCCATACCGTTGGCGACGACGTCCACGATGTCACCGACCTTGTACTGGCGGAGGTAGGTCGAGAGAGGGATCTGGAGACATATTCGTATCAATTTTTTCTCTTGCGCAGGGCATCGTGAAAACTCACCATTCCCTTCTTCTTGAAGTCCCTCGAGAAGCTGCCATGGCCGTCAGTATAACCTTGCCGACGTGCAAAGATCTGTAGGAATCAACTCACGCATAGCGCGTACCCGCGCGGAGACCAGCTGCGTGACCCATTGCGAATGTGTGTGAACGTGGGAATTGGTGGTGTTGATGGCGTCGTTGAAAGTGCGCTTGAGAGGGAAGTGTTGGTGTGGGCTTCGAGGTTGAGGATCAAATTGCCATTGGTCGGTAAGCGAGCGACGCCAAGACTGAAAACCCACCGCGCCCCGTGCAAGAAGTCCAAATTCTCACGAACTTCACAACGTCCTCTTCTTGTTCGACAGCGACCACACACAACTGCTGGATTTGCCTACTAACCACGCAAAACAGCATCCTGTAAGTCTTCATCCTTCAAAATACAATTCCTCATTGCATCTCACATCACCTGCGACACGGCTGCATAAAGGTACTCGCGTGCCTGGATAGTGGTCGCTTGTTCAACGGTGTTATGAGCTGTGCAACATCCAACACTCCGCACAATTTTTAAACATTCAATTTTGCTAACTTCAATTCTTCTCCTCAGTCAACATGACGATCCGCTCGTACTCCAAGACCTACAGGTCGCCTCGTCGTCCTTTCGAATCCGCTCGTTTGTGAGTAGATACTGTCCCACAGACCACTTTGCAGGAGCTTGCTCCGCATATGTCTTGGACATCCGACTGATATTGTAAAAGGGACACTGAGCTTAAGCTCGTCGGCGAGTATGGACTCCGCAACAAGCGTGAGGTCTGGCGCGTCCAGTTGACCTTGTCCAAGATCCGTCGTGCTGCCCGGTAAGTTTTCCCACATACTGCGATGTAAAATTGGAGATGGAGATGGAGGAAGCAGTATGCTAACTTACGATATAGTCTTCTTCTTACTCTCGACGAGAAGGACCCCAAGCGCCTCTTCGAGGGTAACGCCCTCATTCGCCGTCTCGTCCGTGTCGGTGTCCTCGACGAGTCCCGCATGAAGCTCGATTACGTCTTGGCCCTCAAGATTGAGGATTTCTTGGAGCGTCGTCTTCAGACTTGCGTCTACAAGCTCGGCCTTGCCAAGTCTATCCACCACGCCCGTGTCCTCATCCGCCAGCGTCACATCCGGTATGTTTGCACCACCATGTTGATTGAGTGAGCATAGACTAACAAGTCGTCACAGTGTTGGAAAGCAGATCGTCAACGTCCCCTCTTTCGTTGTCCGTCTCGACTCCCAGAAGCACATTGACTTCGCTCTCAGCTCGCCCTTCGGTGGAGGCCGCCCCGGCCGTGTCCGAAGAAAGAAGGCCAAGGCCGCCGCCGGTGGTGATGGCGAGGATGGTGGTGACGAGGACGAGGAGTAGATCATACGCCCAAAAGCATGACGATCAACATCAACAATTTTGGAGTACCTGGGTTATTCATGACGGGATGATTTTCCGGGGCGGGCAAAACGGGCTCCGACGAAAAATGGGGAATATCCAGCATGCGCGTTTCATTAGGTGGATGAGGTTCACATACCCAGTGTGTAAAATGCCTTTCCATACCAAAGAAAATATTCAATTGCAATCCAAGTCTCCACTGTCTCTGCCCCTCACGTCGTGACTCGCTTAAACTTTTCGAAATACTGTATGACTTATCAAAGTATCCTAATCATTGGTCAATTGGAAACTTCTTTTCTTGATATTGATCATATGTCCACCCCACACACAGCGCCGCTGGTCTCAGGTATCACTTCACTTAGCAACAAATACATACATATGCATTGGTAGTGTTGCACTTATTTATGAACTGATTTCGTATATTCATTGATTCTTCTTAATTTCCAATCCCCCTGAGCGGAGTCCTAAAATGCCAAAAGTGTCCATGCTATGCAACCAACACTCTATACACCCCAACCCTATGCTTATGTACTAACTCAGAATCGAAAAGAAAAACACCATCCGACACGTCTAATACCCCCCAATAGAATCATCGGTATATAGCCTCGTAGCCGGCGCAGGTCTCTTCAAACCTTCTGCCTTCTGCCTCGCCTCTTGCATGATCCAAAGCCCACTGCTGGTCCCCAGTCTCGTAGCGCCCGCCTCGAGCATCTGCGTCGCCGCCTCGAGCGACCTGACGCCTCCGCTCGCCTTGACCTGCATCTTTCTTCCGCGGACGGGGCTCCCGCCGTTGCTCTTCTGCTTCGTGGAGAGGTACTCCGCCGCGGCAACCATGAGCTGCACGTCCTCGAGCTTCGCGCCGGGGCCATTGAAGCCGGTGGACGTCTTGATGAAGTCGAAGTTCGCTGCGGCGGCCAGGTGGGATGCGGCGAGGATCTGGGCGGAGTTGAGCTGGGAGGTTTCGAGGATGAGCTTAAGGACAGTGGGGGACGGGCAGAGGGAGCGGATGCTGGCGAGCTCGCGGTAGATGGCGCTGTAGTCGGGTATCTCGTCTTCTTCTGGGTTGGGGGTGTTGCCGCCGGAGCTGGAGACCGAATAAGGCCCCTGGCTGGGGGTGTTGCCGCTCTGCGGCTTTGCGTTGGCTTCTGTGTTCTTCCATGTGATTGTGTCGGCGGTGGAGTCGCGCTTGTGGTTGGAGGGCTTGGGGGTCGGGTTGTGCTTGGTGAGGAGGCTGTGGTTTAGGACGACGTCGAGTTCGGCGGCGCCGGCCTTGACGGCCGCGCGGGCTTCGCGGAGCTTCTCGTAGGTGTCTTGCGTGCCTTCGTGAAAGCCGACGACGCAGGCTACGACGACGGGGGAGCCTTTGAGGTTGGAGACACAGCGGGAGACGTAGTTGAGGCGGACGCAGACGCTCTGTAGTGGGTGGTTAGTCAATTGATACAACAATTGATGTAGCAGAATGTAGCGACCGGAATGCAGTGAATTGAAAGAATAGCAGTAATAAAGTGCAAGACTCTGGAACATGCAATATACCGATAAGGAGGAAAGAAAATGCATACCTTGAATCCCTCAGTCCTAGCCTCAGAGCACAAATCGTCAATCTGCTTGCTCGTCGCATCCAGCTTCAACACGGTATGATCGACCGTCTCCGCGAGATCCTTCGTCCCCTCCCTCGTCGTGACATCGGGCACTCCATACTTCCTGCTCTTATCCGCCGCCACCTTCTTCTGCGTCTCCGCGATCTGCTTCGCCCACTCCTCGTTCGTGTATCGATCCGTCATGATCTCGACGTTTCCGAGCTCAGCGTCGAGCGCAGGATTGGCAGCGAGGAAGTCACGGACGAGAGTCTCTGACTCTGTCGGAGAGGTAGTGGTAGTGGGATTCGAGGAAGCCATTATTGGGTGAGATTATAATAGAGCCGCGGCGCGCGATTGGAAGAGATGGAATGTGCGCAACGCAAGTGCGATGAGTAAAAGCTAATGACGTCGTGGTGGCTTGAATGAGGAAAAAACCAATGATTCGATGGTAGTCTGTGCCGCGGGTTCGTGCGGATGGACTGGACGGCAAGGGGGGCTTCGGTGGAAAGGAGGGAGATATTGGGAACGATCGTGAAGTCCAAATGTCTTTATTTTTGTTTATGTACGTTTCTAGAACTTAAAAGTATCGGCGACCCCCGCCCCGCAGCAGTCGTTGCAGGCTGTCATGCGACATGCAGGAAACAAAACGTGCAGCAACCCCGAGGGGCATTTTTGAGTTTAATCAAATCAATCAATCGACTGGCATGGAATCAGTGCCGTTGATCGTTAGCCGTCCGAGCAGCCAAGCCAGGTTTCCATTTGTTCCTTCTGCAACAGGCTAAGTGTCGAAGATGTCACGATTCTGATTTTCACCCTAGCTTCCCACCTAGCCCTGACGGAGCGGTGAAAATCCGTATGGGGGAATCCTAAGAGCCAGATGTCACATTAAGCAATTCTTTGCACAGTCGCTGTACGCGGTGGTCACGGCAGTACATAGTGTTCAGTATATTCAAGTTGCTTTTGAAGTGTTTCATTTTACATAGGACCGCTTTGCACGCGGAAAAGGTATCCTCGATCGCAACCGGTCCTCGCGCTAGGCGATTAACCTAGAGCTCTGAGATGCTAATCTCGCCTGCCACATGCATATATAGAAAGCTGTGTGAAAGGCATGCCAAACGTAGGAAAACATATCAAGGAGATAGAACGGTCATGATCAACGCTAGATATCCGGAACTCCCGTGAACGCTTTTGGCTGAACTCGATTGGAAAGATCCCTCTTCTATCCGCATTCGAGTCGATCGGTATTTCGATGAGAATCACATCTCCCATCTCATCATGGGTCGTAAACCGTCAGTCCTCCATCGTCATCGTCCCCAATTGATCGTTTACTTCCTTCGGAAAGAGCAGCCCTCGGTCAATCTTGCCTTGCCACCAGTTGGCTGGCACCTAATCAAACAATTAGCCTCGGTCCCATGTCGTACATCAAACTGATAATCCAGGAATCCACAAAAGACTTACAGGACCTGTGAGCAGCCCTGGCAGACGACGACTGTGTTGGCGTGCGAGAAGACGGTGGTGATTGTGAAGCAGCCGGGGCACTTGACGTCCATGAAGAAAGAGCGAGGAGCGGGGACGAGGGTCTTGAGCTTGTGCTTGCGGGCCTCAGATTGAGGGGTGGGGTTGAGGAGATCGACTGCGAGAACCTATTGATCGTACTGGTCAGTCGACGTATTTCTATTGTTGAATTGCGGGTGCATCATGTTGTGTCGTGTGCAAGGTGCGGTGGTGAGGTTGGCACTAGTCGAACTTTTCGTGGCAAATTCGACACTGTCGTGTGTGCTTCCAACAACACAGCTCTGCGGCGACGATGCGGTCCGGGGTGGGTGTACTCACCATGTTGTCGGATTATGGAGAGTTTATTGATTGAATTTGAGTCCGAGTGGAGTTGTCTGGAGATGGAATTCGCGTGAGGATGGAGGGTCGAAAGGGAGGGGCTCGAGTTAGTTGAAGATGAGGAGGAGGAGTTAGTCGTCCTTTCCGCGGCGCCCCAATTGAAGGTTTGTGGCCTTGGCATTTCCACAGCACGGACCAACAGAACTTCCCTTCCATGACATTCATCCATTCACACAGCAATCCTTTGACTTTACTCCGTACATCATTCCTACTCACTTTTGGTCTTGATGAGTCAAACATCCACGCCAATTCCAGGCAGCATCCAAGAATTGTCTCTCAAACAACAGAGCGGCAAATTATAGAGACATCCGAATCCCATCATGCGAAGCTCTTCATCCCACTTTTTCGAAAGAGAAGGACGGCAATTGGCCATGAAATGCACCAGTGTTTAACGCACTTGTTACGGGACTGGCAAATCAGGGACTGGCACTACTCGTTCTTCGTGAAAAGCTAACATCCACCTCGCCTTGTTCTGCCTAGCCTAGCCCCCAGACCTGGAATATTCGAGAGCATGCACCGGAGTAGAGCGACAGTTGCTGATCTGGGATCCCGCTCTGAGCCAATCTAGTCCATGGTAAACACTGATTTGGTATGCTCAGTCCATTTGCAGAGAGTCTCTTTCAAGCTGCTCCAAATCATTAGAACGTAAAGTCCATGAGGGGGTTATAGATGAACAGGCAAGATGCATAGTCTGTGTATGGTTCGTTGCACGTGTATGCTGTGTGTACCCGTGACTATGAGATCGTCTCGTGGCAATCATACAATTCCAAAGGCCCAGACCAGGAAATTGGCCAACAGTCGACGGTTTGAGAATGATCTCGTCATTAGAGACTTCCAATATAGTTAAGCAGTGCAATAATAGGAGCTGTGACTCATAGATTCATGATCCCAAGATATCAGTTTCAACAAAGCAAACATGCATTAGATCAAGATATATATATCATGCACTTCTACGAGGCAAGCGTACAATGACAACGTAGCAAATGTTTTGCAAGTCATGAAAGAAGAAAGGAAACAAATATAGCTGGATGAGCTTCTCAAAAATGTTATGCACAGAGAATACAAAAGAGAGGTGACGGAGAGATGACAAGCAGCTAAAGCAAGATCCATGCGTACTGTCGACGCGACGCGAATCCAAACAAGGGTAATCTATAATCAGAAGAGGAAGAGCCAACTGTTGAACAACCCAACTCCTGTCCGCTCGAAGCAAGCCCCTGAATAGGCACTGGGTCTGCCCCTGCATAACTTGCGTGGGCTATGGTGAAAAGTCGAACAATCCGCGAGGTCTACACATGCAAAAGAATTGTCCCGAGGCCATAAGAGCTTCCCGTGGAGGGCAATACTGAAGACGGTAACGCTATGTTTCCAAATTCCGACACCAGCAAAGATTGTCCCCAGAAATTAGCGGAGAATAAAGCGCCGGTTATTGAGATGAGGGCGAGATGAGAGAAATGAATAATTGAAAGGGAGCCGCTTAGAAGAGGAGAGAACGAGGTATCAAGGTAGTAGTCGAAAGGATGAGAGATATAGAGGAGCCGTTTACATGACAGAGCAACCGTCGCTCTTGTCCTTGCCGTTCTTGACGGAGAGAGCAACGCGAGCTGCCTCGGTGAATGCTTCGTTAACGCCTCGGTTCTTCATGGCGGAGCACTCTATAGGACTATCAGTACAATTCAGACATCTGGAGGGTGTGATCGCATACCAAGGTATCGTAGAGCCTTGATCTTCTCAGCCACGCGAAGGCCTTCATCATAGTTGATCAAAGTCTTCTCTGGTTGTGGCTCATCCTCTTCCGCATCGTCTCGTTTTCGGAGATCGCACTTCAATGCAACCAAAACGAGCTTGACACCTGGGCAGTTCTCGGCGATCTCGCCAACCCATTTGGTTTCTACGTTCTCCAATGAATCGGGCGAGTCAACCTGTGGTACCATGTCAGCGGATGGTCGCTAGGATGAGCAAGAAGAGCGCGTACGCTGAAGCAAAGCATGATGGCGTGTGTATCATCGTATGAAAGCGAGCGTAATCGGTCGAATTCTTCCTGTCCAGCCGTGTCCCACAGGCTCAATTCCACGTGTGTATTGTCGATATAGATGTCTACGATTTTGGTTAAGATGTTGGTTTTCCTGAAGCGGATGATTCATATGGATTTGACGAACCATGGACATAGTTTTCTGTATGTCTGTTAGCAATTACTCTTCTCGTCTAGAGTGCGATGCGGCTTACCGAATACCGTAGGCTCACTTGAGAGGATCAGAGTCAACTCAACGTCATTGAACACGCACTTGCGACGACTTACTATACGGTGGGGAAATATCTGGAACCCAAAGAATCAGTACTGGACATTCGAGAACTCTATTTCGAGTGAATCAAACACATACCCCCTTGTAAACACGTTCAATAGCGATGTCTTGCCGCATGCGCCATCGCCGCTGGGTAAAGAATAGTCAGCCTACGTCTGTCGCAAATCGATCCAAGACCGCATGGCCTATCGCCTCCACACCAGCGTGCCCACAGATACTTCAGACGTACAGAAGGACTAGCTTGCGCTGCACAGACTTCGTTCCACCACAGAGCGGCATCGTGAAGATATGGGTAGTTGCGGCGATCGATGTATCGTCTCGGCTTGGGGATGGTTCAAGTACGAAGGTTTAGGTGGTACCGGGCGCGGGTCTGTCGTTGACGAAGGGATGACGAGCGGAGCAGCGAGAGTCGTACGGGGCAGAGATGGCGGCTGAAGGGTTTAAGGATGGTGATGAAGTCGGAAAGGCGTCTAGAGCTGGCTGGGAGAGGTTGCTGAGGGAGTGGATTAAGAGACCAGAGCCCACGTTAAGCCTGATTGGGCAGGACGCTTTCGCCTCTCCACCACGACTCCGCTGCCGAAACGCAGACATGGCGCAGTCTCTATGGTCACTAGGGGAGATGATGCCGAGTTAGGAGGGGAGATCTCTCCGTTGAGAATGTTCATGAGAACTTGGAGGTCTCGACTGCGAGAATTGTAGATACGCTGGTACGAGAGGAGAGCAGAAAGATTCTGTGTTGTTTACCTCCACACCTTTGCCCGGACCAAATATTGCTAAGGTACCAGACAACATCACTGCAAGGTGCTGAATAACTACGAGGTATCTAGGTAGGTATCTACTCGAGGCATTGGCATGCGCTGTGCTGCATCATCCAAGCTAGGCACTTCGTAGAATTCGAGACTTAAATCGACCAAGCGAGCCATGCAACGCTGACGAAAAAGAAGCGCCGAATCATGAAATGTATCCTGAGAACTCTTCCTGTTGCGATCGGCAGATGGTGAATTACAGCAATACGAGTTGAGCATTTGTTAGAGTAGCGATCTTTCATGCGCTGCTTTCGTCCACTCCCTAAACCTGATTCATGAACCTCGCAACGGCTGCCGCCCAATGTTGTTGTGGTCTACGGGCCCTACAGGTACCTGTGCGAACGTCATTGATTTTGTAGACACGACTCATGACAGTGGCAGTTCGGCTGGGAGTACTCCGTACTGAGACAGCAGACCTCGTAGCATTGTTGTATTGTTACCATGCGCACCCATCATACACGTGGAACTGCACTTCCAATTCGTTTTCTAGAATTTCTCATTGCATCGATAGTTACCTTTAGGAAAGTTTTAAGATGACTACTATGATGTTCTAGATCCCAATGCGAGCGCTGGGCGAAGTACGGTTCCTATTTTTCACGGTTGCAGGCCGATAGTACGAGGTCTTGTACCAGCCTTTTAAAAGAATACCAATATGCATTCTCAACACTTAGCAGTCTCATGAAACTTGACTAACAGGAATGGAAGACAATTTCAAGGGTGTGCTTCGTGGTGCTTCACATGAGTATTCTGATTGCTTCCTAATTGGGTTAGACCAAAATGCCAAGCCCCCAGATCTAGGAGCGGGGTGCCTGCGCTACCCTACCCGCATCATCGCAGCCTACTGCCTACCCTAGATAACGAAGCTCAAACAACTCTCTACCACAGCTCTACCAGATATCCAATTGACTTCGCTCTGTAGCTTTAAGCTCACTCATACCCTCTTTGACTTCATCGCCCACCGAAAGACTTTATCATTACAGAGTATCCCGCCACACCGCCACCATGTCGGACGACGACGATTTCATGCAAGACTCCGACCAGGAGGAGTAAGCTCAAACCTCCAAATAAGTGTTCAGCAATCTGACACAGTAACACAGCTATGACTTCGAATACGAAGACGATGACGAGGAACAAGGTGGTGACGTCGACATCGAAAATAAATACTACAACGCAAAGCAGCTCAAAGCGGAGGACCCAGAGTCAGCTATAGATGAATTTCTGGGAGTCCCCTCACTGGAAGAGGAGAAGGGGGATTGGTACGGACACGAATCTCATACAGAACTGGACCGGTAAAGCTTACTGTGTGGCAGGGGATTCAAGGGCCTCAAACAGGCCATCAAGCTGGAGTTCAAGCTTGGACGCTACGAGCAGGTCGGAACCCTCATACAGTGCCGAGGGCTGGGACACCTGCTGACTCTGACAACAGGCCGTAGAGCATTTCAAGGAACTACTCACATATGTCAAATCGGCCGTGACGCGAAATTATTCCGAGAAATCGATCAACAACATGCTCGATTTCATCGAGAAGGCTGCGGAAGATGCCGAGGCATACAGTTGCATGGAGAAGTTCTACGCCCTGACGCTCGATACCTTCCAGAGTACGAACAATGAGCGGCTCTGGCTCAAAACGAACATCAAGCTTGCACGGCTGTGGTTGGACAGAAAGGACTACCGGCAGCTGACCGAAAAGGTTCGAGAGTTGCACAAGGCGTGCCAGAAAGAGGATGGAACAGATGATCCGAGCAAAGGAACGTATTCATTGGAGGTTTATTCTTTGGAAATTCTCATGTACGCTGAAACTAGGAACAACAAGCGCCTGAAGGTCAGTCCCAACAACCGGATCTCGTCCCTCTTGCATGTTGTAGTAACTCACGGACCCACAGGCGCTATACCAACGAGCACTGAAGGTGCGTTCGGCCGTTCCACATCCCAAGATCATGGGCATCATCCGAGAATGTGGTGGCAAGATGCACATGAGCGAAGGTAAGCAAGGACGAGATTGGAACGATGATAGCAAGATTCGAGGCATGACCATTTGACTAATGACTCTTTGGCACACAGAGAACTGGAAGGGGGCGCAGAGCGACTTCTTCGAGAGTTTCCGTAATTACGACGAGGCGGGATCACTGCAGAGGATCCAGGTGCTGAAGTATCTGGTTCTCGCGACCATGCTGTCGGGTTCGGACATCAACCCCTTCGACTCCCAGGAGACGAAACCGTACCAGAACGACCCTCGTATCTCCACCATGACCGACCTGGTCAATGCTTACCAGAGGGAAGACATCCACGAGTATGAGAAGATCCTGCAAAACAACCGAGACCTCCTCCAGGACCCATTCATAGCGGAGAACATTGACGAGGTGACCCGGAATGTGCGAACCAAGGCCATCATCAAGCTCGTAGCGCCCTACACACGGTTCACATTAGCCTTCATCTCGAAACAGCTCAAAATCTCCCTAGCTGAGGTCCAGGAGATTGTGGGTTTCTTGATCGTGGACGAGCGCCTTCGCGGGAAGATCAACCAGCAGACTGGTACGGTCGAGATCGAGAGTAGTACCGACAAGGATCGGGTGCAGGCAGTCAAGGAGTGGAGCAAGGCGATTGGATCTTTGTGGGCCACGGTCCTTAACGAGGGAGATGGCTTCAAGTCCGACGAGAGTGGTACGGGAGGCTTCTCGTCCAATGGACCTGGCGAAGGCGGGGGAATGGGTGGAGCGCAGAGACCTTGGGGAAGCAACATGGGCAGTCTTGCGGGAAAGAATGGACGGCCGAAGGGTAAGGGTCTACCGGGACGATTGCCGGGCGGTGGGATTAAAGGATGACTTGCAGAGGCCCGCTAGGTACGACGGATGGCTGAACAGTGAAGAGTACGAGTATGGATAGGAGGGCCACGGGACGCTGCTGTTCCACGATACCGTCACTCAGGACAGGCCTAAGCCAGAAGAATTGAAACATGCGGCGAGGTTGCTCAGAACGAGAGGGAGACTTGTGGACACTGTATTGGTGCAACCGGTAGCACAGGACAAAGATGTTTTTTATTTCCTTTTTCCCTCTCCATCGGAAAGGCAAAACCCACAGGACCGGCGTCCCATTGGGAAATAGACTCATGGACTGGAGCACGGAAATGTTCGGGGTGCTGGGCGAGCAAGCTGGTACCTACACCGGTTGTTGCCACAGTGGGCAAGTAGCAAGTCACGAAATCTAAGCAGAGCAATGCAAAGCACGCAGGCAGGCAGGGCAGGTAGCCATGCAAGCAATCAAGCAGAGTCAAAGTATTGTATGTATGTAACCTGGCCTCGTCCTATATGTTTTCTTTTCTTTCCATTGCAACCCAGCCAAAGGGAATGGAGACCGATTGCGCGGCCAGCCAGGTCAGGAAGGCAAGCAAGCCCACCCCATTGTGGATTCAGCCATCATCATCTCTTCCCCCTCCCGGCTAGCAGATCAGTGATTCCATCGAGATGAAGTGAGATCGTACCTACATGACCCAGCTATGGCGAGGTGGGCGAACGGTGAGTGGTTGCTATGGTGGTGGTGACATTTTGAACTTGAACTTACGGTGTGGTATGTACTATAGACGATTCCCATATTTTTCTTTTCTTTTTATGCTGCCTCTTGGGAGGAAGGGGGTTGGTGCTACCATCATATTCATACCCGTGACCATCACCATCTTCATCACCACGACGGATTGGGTGCCATGAACGATGCATGGAGTAAACTATGTGCATTTTCAAGAGTACCCAACATCACAACTACATACATGCATAGACATACACACCCACACACATAACCCATCACAGAGATCCAGCGAGAGATGACGCCCATCCACCGTCCACCCGTCCCCTGACTGGCCGGCTAACCCATCCACCATACCCTTACCCACCCTCCCCACCAGAATAGAACACATGCAGGCAATCAGAGCCGCCCGCGGAAGCGGCAACTCATCCAGCGGCTGTCTGAGACGATGTACGGCGACGGCGGCGGCGGTGGTGGTGGAGGGGTAAAAGTATGTATGTATGTATGGGAATAGACGAGTTGGGAAAAAGCAATGGTTGAGCTCAGCACATGTCTGAATCCCTTACGTTGACGTTGGTTTGTTTTGGTTATATGAGGGGGGAGGGGAGGGGAGGTACTAGGAGGAGAGGAGAAGAGAGGATGGTGAATGCGAATGTGAACATAGGAACCGCTGGTTTAGAATTTACTGTTCGTGATTTTGGATATGGAAGACTGAGAAGAATGGTACGAGTAGGTGGTTTGTGTTTGATCTACCCTTTCTCTGCCATGGCATGTACCTGGGTCTTGGGAGGGGAGGGGAGGGATCGGTTGCCAGCGTGGGGGGTTGGATCGAGAGAGGGAGGAAAAGGGAATTGCAATTGACGTAAATATGTCTAGATACAGATGTAGCTATCTATCTGATGTACGGAGTATCTATCTAGTTTGAGGAGTTGGATGAGCATTTGGTTTGTTCTGTACGGTATGGTAGGCATTGTATGAGATGATTTCCTATGATGTGATATTTATTGAATTGTATGATATGTTACGGACCACGTATGCAAAGAAGACTGACTGACCATAGCCATCGCGGAAGCAGAGAGAATACTCCGAAGAGCGAGAGGGGGGTAGACCGTAGGTTACTTTTCCACGCATGCCGTGTCGGCGCCACAAAGGTTGAGGACGAATCATGCCTCTTCACGGGCTCACGGTGGGTTTGGATTTTACCAGGGGGGAAGTGGTGTGTCGGTCTTCTTCAGAAGGGGGAGGAGGGGGAGGCAGGCCTGGATTGCTAGCTATTATTATTTTTTATTCCCATTGGAAACGCGCAATTGGGTGGAGAGTGGTGAAGGTTTGAGTGGTGAGGAGAGAGTGTTGAAGATGTGAGCAGTCATCTTTTCGGCGCCATCGTTGCGAAACGCCGACCACCACCCGCGAACCGCGAATGCTACATGGGTGCTTTGATTGTCCAATGCTCCCCTGTAACTATGTGCATTACAGCGATGACTGTTGCTTCTGCTGCGCGCACTACACTGACCATTCCATACAATTGCACTGTAGTCGAATGAATGGCTGGTGTCCAAAGTTTGTTGCACTTGCAACTGCACGTGTGCCCCTGCTGGGCCCCATTAATACAATTGGGGGATCGGAAATGAACCTTTTGGCGATTATTGGAGATGATGATGATGGTGGTGCCGGGTTTGCATGCATGCAATGCAGGCAATGCAGCAGCGAAAACTGTCTGTTCGATCATGTGGGGAGGGAGTTGCGTATGGGTGATGATATGACGATCATTGTTACGGAGGATTTTCTGGTTCTTCTGGCTACGCATCCGATGGTGCGGGAGGAGATGCGGCAAGGGTGGACTGATTCACTCGTTGCATGTGCGTGTGATTTTGTTCTGTTCAATTGTATGGAGTATGGTGCTGTGTGTTGTGGGTTGATGACGAAAGGAAGGGTATAATTACGGGGTGGAGAGAGCGATATTGTGCTTTTGATATTCTGCATGTTCCCCATTCGTTCGACGCTAGCCAGATGGTTTCCGGCTATCTATGGATGTGATATTGGACGATATGATCTAGTGACCGTTGCAGATGGATGTCGGTTCAGCAGGAGTGACACCTAGGAATCAGGATGAATTGTCCAGCAGACCCGGGATGAAATGGAACCAGCATCGTGGGTACATAGTATGATGATATTAACTCCAGGTACTCCGTGCTTGCGTAGATAATTCGGAGACAACGGAGGCGCCAGTACCTGGCACAGCAGCGTAGACCAGACTAGAGTGGACTATGGGGGTACGGAGGCAGAGTACAAGTGATTAGGAGCATTCACTAGAGTGGTGTAGAGAGCGAGGCGAGGTTGAGGTGCGGCGATATCATCACGCTCGCATGCATCCCATCCACACGCCCCTCCCCCTCCATCCCTCCCTCCCTCCCTCCGCGCGCTGCCGTTGTCGGCGGGCGTTAGAGAGCAATTGACGGGCATACTGACTGCATGGAAAAGCAGATACTTTACAGGCTCGATTGGCGAATTGGCGATTGGAGGGCCTGGGGTGTGGTGGTGGAGGTCTACGCGAAATGGCTGCAGTGCATACTTCGTCCTGTAGTAACTGTGTACCTCCGTACAGCAGGAGAGCCCCCTCCCAGAAATCCACCACCCTGGTTCCCCTTCCCTTTTCCATGAGACCGCACAAGTACTGTACGAGATCCATGACGGTCAAGGGCCTTCGGTAACTCAGCAAAGGAAAGTTTTCTTATTTTCTTTTTGCTGGAGGCCCTACCTAGTTACATACATGGAAGAGAGATCCCGGTAGGCGTGAGGGGAGGGTAGTAACCGGATGGAAGCGCGCCCTGAGAATAGCAGAAAGAGAAAAGAAAAAGGGCCATGGGGGTTAGGCAGGGCAGGGAGGGAGAGGAGAGTACCCAGGAATGCAACTCCCTCTTGTGCGCCGTCGCGCTCAGCAGCATCACCCTCCGGTTTCACTTGGAGGCAGCCCCATCGCTCGATGTGCATGAGGGCGCACCTTAGCATTGACTGAGATGGAATCGGTGCCTCTTTTCCAAGCTTGCGGTGCAACAAAGAGTTGGTCGTTTCAATCCCGCCAGGATGGCAAAGGAGGGCCTAGGGGGGTCAGGACGACCAGGACGACACAGGACCAGATGATGGTGGTCGGTGGAGTGGAGGTGGTAGTAGTGGAGGTCATGAAGGTTCATGGTGGTGGTGGTGCAGACTGTGCCTTTCGTTCGTGCCTGGATGGGTAACTATCTTGTACGGAGTAGCATCAAGTGGTCAATAAAATAGCCATGGCAAGCCAGCCCCGTCAAAGTTCTTGTGGCAGATCGCGCGCATAGATCTATTCCTCTCTCTCTCCCCTTCTGTCCACCTGGTATCCACACCCCGGTATCCCTCTGGTTCTCTTCGTTCTCTTAGGTTTGTTATATCGGCATTGGCCCTCCACACAAGCACAAGCACACGCACACACACCTCTACGACTACTACCTAGGTTCTATTCTATACTACTCCATACACCCCCTCCACTCCCGTCCCCTCCCTACGCTACGCTACCACCCCCTGGACGAACCAAAAGGGTGGGTATCACAGCAACCGACTACACAGTACGACTCGCAGGCCAAACGACGACACAAGCTCAGACAGACACGGGGGGGCTTTTGAGTGAAGTGTAAGTGTGTGGTTCTGGCTTTTCGCCAACCCGCGGCTGTGGATCTGCTCTTGGACACAGCGTGTGCCCGCGTACATGCTGATAAAAAGGACGTATGGTCCTCGTCACCCTTTCGGTTGGATTCTTGCCTTGAGGTTTGAATTGACTTGACATACTACTGGTCGATTGGTTCGTTGATCCATTGACTGAGTGGTTGGCCCTTCGATTTGACTTGATTGATTGATTGATTGATTGATTGACTTGATCATTGAGACGTCATCTTCCTTTCTTACCTTCTATCTGATCGATTGATCGATCGTTTGTTTGTTCACCTGGCTGTCTGTCTGTTCTACTTCGACGAGGAACATACAGTGTTTGAGTATACCGATTCGATACTGTACCGCGTTCAGAGAGAGAGAAAGGGAGAGACAAGTACCTGTGCTTGGGAGCGTGAGAGAGGATTGAAGGAAGAAAGGGAAAGGAGAGCATTGGTAGACGGGATCCCTATTCGCTTGCTTCCTTACCTCGCTTGCTTCGACAAGCAATCCGACCAATCTCGAGCATACGTTTCCGCATACGCATACGCGGACGCCATACACATACATTCGCACCAACATACGACATACATACATACGCAGTCCGAACGATATCCTACCTACGAACTAATCTTGACCTCGTAGGCCAAGTACCTCGGCTTCCGTTTGCTTACCTTTGAGGTTTGCGAGGTGTTTGCGCTTCCGTGGAGCCTCCTTGCCGAGCACCAAGGGGGAAGCATCCACAATCAATCAATCAATCACTCCCCTCCCCAGGGTAGTCTGCAGGGTACGGTACGGGACACGGGTACAAGACTCGCGAACGACAACGAAAAAAAAGTGGACGTATCAGGGACCATTTCGATTTATTGTACTGGGAGGGGTTTGCGTATGTGTGTGTGTGTATGCGGCATCTCCGAGTCGGACACAACAGGATACAGGATATAGACGCACAACGCGCCTGTAACGTCGACGCTCGATCATTCGTTGACGGACCCGGAGCATTACACCGGTGGCTCTGACCTGTCTCATTGCCCAGCTGTGCGCCTGTGTCGGAGTTTGTCTACCGTCCTGTAGGATAGTCGGAGGTGACGACGACTTGCGACTACGAACGGACGAGGGAGGAGATTGGTTGGCGATTGATCTTCAGGAAAGGTTGAGTGGTTGTTGAGGTTGTTTGTGGTAGTGGTATCCATTCGACGATCACGACTCCTACTGGACTACTGCTACTACTACTAAGACTGCGACAACAATTGCGACCAGGAGTCACGACCAAGAGTACGATTAGGAGTACAGGCGACGACAGGCGACATGAGTCGACAAGCAGCAATGGTCATGAGTAGTGGCGGTGGTAGTGGTAGTATTGGTGGTATTGGTGGTATCGGTGGTGGTGGAGTAGGTTACCAGCATTATGGGGTTGTTGGACAGGGTCAGCATGGACACGGACATGGACTTGGGCATGGGATTCTTCCATTCGACAACAACATTGGCCACGGTCTTCACTCCGCTCACGGCCATATCCCCCTTCACAACCACACTCACACTCACCCTCACCATAACCCTCATGTCCATCATCATACTAATCACAACTTACACACCCACGCCCACGCTCAGAGTCAAGCCCAGGCTCAAGCCCAGGCACTCGCCCACGCTCAATCCCACGCCCACTCGGCATCCCTACACCACGGCCATATTAGCCACAGCCAAGGCCAAGGGCATGTGCAAGGGTTACTAGGAACGCCATCCACGCCAGGGACATCAACAACGACCGCGGTAACTGGCAATGGTAGTGGTGGAATATTAGCGGGAGGATTGGGAATGGGTATGGGGATGGGAATGGGACAGAGTGATCATTTTGGTACTCATTCTCTTAATTCTGCTACCAATACTACACATAATAGTAGTATTCAACAGCAACAGCACCAGCAACAGCAGCACCAACAAGCCGGGTCGCTTGCCGGCTCCTCGACGGCGGCGGCGGCGGCGGCGACGGCGCTTGTGGGAGGTGGGACTGGCAGCGGCGGCGGCGGCGGCGGAGGGTCGTCGCTTCCTCTCTACCGTTCACCTTCCCAACATCAACATCAACAGCATCAACAGCATCAACTCCACCAGCAACATCAACAACACCAGCAGCAGCAGCAGCAGCAACAACAACAACAACAACAACAACAATTGCAACTTCAACAACAATTCAACCAATCCCTAACCCATTCCCATTCACATTCACAACCGCAAACGCAACCACAATCGCATGCGCAAACAAACCGACAACTTACATCCACAACCAATCCCTCGCAGCAGCAGCAGCAGCACCTCCAGCAGCAGCAACATACCCGCTTGATCGGCCAGTCTGCTGCTAGCACCAGAAAGTCCGGCCCCTCCTCTTCTTCCTCAATTACTACAACTTCCTCTCCCACTCCCACTCCCACTTCCCCTTCCGCTTCTTCTTCCTTTTCCATCGCCACCGCCGCTTACCACAGTAACAGTAACAATCACAACGGCGACAATCTCGACCTCAATATCCACACCATGGATATGCCTTCGGACGAGGAATATGCCCAACTCCAGAAGTTGTCGGATGATTACCAACCTGAAGCCACCGTAAGTGATCCCTCTACTCATCCGTATACACACATTCCCTCTCGACATGTAGTTATCCATCCACCACATTTGCATTTATTCCCTTCGTGGAGGCCCCAGACTCCTTCCTATTTGATGGTCATGTCATCATGTCATTATATCCTCTTCGACTCATACTCTTCACTCTACTCTTTCCTCCCCTCTTCCCTCCTCTACTACGCTTCTCTTCATTCTCGTCTTTAATTGTCTCTTGTCGTCGCTCGCTCTCCACCTCTCCGTGTCTTTCTTGTCGCCCCTCCATCCCTCTCTGCTCAAAATAAATCATCCTCATCACCACCACAACATTGTATACTGACATGCACAACCAAATCAGGGTCCACTCGTGGGTGAGCGCCAGAGCAGTAGCGCAATCACGACGGAATATGCCAATGCAGACCTCGTCTACAGGATAAAAACTGCCGCATTGCCCCAGAAGTACGCCTACTTCCGCACTTGCCGCGGCGATGGCCATTGTGGTTGGCGAGGTAAGTACCAACCGAGACTGCACCCTTTGCACCTTCCCTCCCCTTGATATCAATATCAACATCAACAACACCGTCAATCGTCCATCATTCAAATCTCTCCGTCCTCCTACTAACCCATCCATCCAGCAATCGCATTCACCTACTTCGAGGCTTTGCTCCGCGCTGGCGACGTGAACAAGTTCGACGAAGAACTATGTCGCCTGCAATCCATGGGCAACTTGCTCGTTGTCGCCGGCTTCCAAGAGGACCTCATCGAAGACTTCCGTGACGAAGCATTGGACCTGCTGCGAAGATTGGCCGCTTCCGAACGCTCAATGGACGGCACTTCTGCCGACCTGCTCCTCCAGACCTTCAATGATTATGGCGCCTCAATGTCGATAATCACGTACTTCAAGGTAAGTACCCACCCCACTCACAGTTGTGCGCCTCGAAATTCATCGTGCTAATCGTGCTCAAAGCTCCTCGCCAGCGCATGGATCCAGTCGAATCCCGATGACTTCGTGGGCTTCCTGCTCGACTGTCCTGACATTAAGACATACTGTCAGCAAAATATCGAAGCGGCAGGTTGCGAAATCGAAAACGTCTCCATGGCCGCATTGGCTGAAGTACTGGTCAAACCAGCAGGCTTCGGCCTCGAGGTACTCTACTTGGATCGCTCTCCCGGCAGTGAGATCAACAATACCTTCTGCATTGAGCCAACCAACCAAGATGGTGTCCCCGTGCAAAATGCACCCATCCTACGATTGCTCTACCGACCGTAAGCCTCGTGAACCGTTCATTTACATCCATTGCACGATGCTAACGAACCACAGTGGACATTACGACATCCTCTACCGGGCCGATGACTTTCCATCTCCCGTCCCGCAGCCGCCTTTGCAGGTCGCTCTCGCAGGTTACACGGACGAGTTTGTTCCAATGTCCTCTAATCTATCCGAGGTTATGACCATGATTCCTGGCATGTTTCCCACAGGGTTAGGCCAGCGGTGGCCATCCGTCTCGTACTACGATAGCCCAGACCCCGCACCGCAACCTCAAATTGCATCTGTGCCCACCTACGTGCCTGCCCCAACGCCGGCAGCACCAGTCGTAGCCTCGCACCATGACTTCGTGCATTCCATCCACCCTAATCACGTGGACCATCACCAGCCGCCGAGCCTCCACAACATTCAGCTGGAACCGCCTGTGACCCTCCCGATACATCACGCGCCCCCGCCTGCGCCGCCAATCAGTATAGAGAGAACCCCCTCGATGTCCATTGAGCGAGGCGGGCCGTTCAGGCCATCTATGTACGAGCTCGAGCCAGGCTTCGGTTCAGGACAGGTGCATCCATCGCCATTCCAAACGTCGATTTTCCGCAAGTACGTAGCACAGCACCATCCTTTTCCCCCACCAATGCATGCTCAGGAATTCGTTTGCTGACAAACAATCATAGCTCTCATTACAATACAGCACACTTTATGAATCCAGAATTCCAACCCGAGGAATGGTCGCCGGATTCAGAGTACGCTACCGGCAATCGAGGCAGACACAAGTCGACTTCTTCGTAGAATTGTCTCCTCGCGTTTCCTACGATTATGACCTTACACGTGCTTTCACGGAGGCTTCTTGCGCAACACTTCCCATCACGAGCGTGGCGTTCATCGATTTGAATGTTTGCTGCTTCTAATTGCATCACCTGTCCGATATGCCTCGGACCATTGCCATGAATTTAACGATGATACCATTGCTAATCCCTTTTCGGACCTTTCGATATTTGTTACCTCTACCTATCATAAAATTTCATAGCCTTTCCAATCGTGCTACTTGCAACCTCTCGTTCCATTTCATTGTCATTTTACTTTCAACATCGATACGGCGGATACTCTCGACTTTACTGCGACCAGACTGTTTCGCGCCGCGAGGACGAACGACCGTTACGACCAACAAAGACTATCGACCTCAGGGTGCCAACGTTACTTAGAGTTGATCATAGTTATTCGCGCTTACACTCCCCTTTTTGGACCGCCCGGACCGTTTTAAACCCCATCTAATCGGATCGAACATCGAACCCCATCTCCTACTCTTCTGTCACAATATTAGGTAATCACTGCGGTGTGCCTTATCGCCTCCGAGTTCCACTTTCCTCCGACTGCTATTCGATCCGCTACTCTTGTTCTCGTCGACTTTCCCCAGAATATAGGCTTCGTGCAGACAAGCACCGAATGCTGGATATACCCTTTCCTATGATCATTACTTGCAAACTGCGAGCGAGACTTTGCTATGGGTTGTTTGGCGCAGGTTTGGCGCAATGGATTGGATCACGATATTCTTGGCTGCAATGTTTTCGATGCCGCTGGGCGATGAGAAAAGGACTACATGGATATGCACTGGCTGCTGGAGGCAGTATCGTTGAGGCGCCGGAACGTTCATCTCGAGAGGAGAGGTTGGTTCACGGTGCCTCAACGGTGGACTCGTCGGATAGATACTAGGCCGCTGCCAGAAAATATAAAATGAGTTATATCACAAATGTTCTTTCCTCTATGTAGTGCGACTCTTGACCTCAGTATGTTCACCCAATGTCCCTATGTTTCGGCGTCAAATCGCTCGCTCTACATGGCAAACAAGCAGCAAGCTACATGTCCCCCACACCCCTCTGTGCCGTTTCCCCTCGAGTCCAGCGAGGCTGACTTTCGTGTGTCCCACCATGACCGACCGCAAAAGCCGCAGCCGCATATCGCACTTCGTACGGCACCCACTCCCCCCTTTCCCCTCGACCGAGTGCGAGAGAACCCCAAGCCTGACTCAAGCCAACGTTACATGCACCCCATGCCCATCGACACACGAACCGGTGGGCATGAGCGCGGCTCGCGCATCTAACCCTCCATTGTCCACCCCCTCCTCCCCCTTGCTCTCCCCTTGCGCCACTCCCTCATCGCAAAACCAGGATTTCGGTCAAAGACACGGTACGGTGGTAGGGTGGGTGGGGATCTGTGTCAGATTGTGAGATCGATTCAGATTCTCTTGCCGTTTCCTGTTCCCGTTCCCGTAGAGCTCAAATTAGGTGTTTCTTCGGTGTGAGGGTTAGAGGGAGAATGGGTAAGGAGGGTATCATCAACGGGATGGTTACGGGGATGGATGCTTGGATCGTGTGTTTGTTTGTTTGATGACGTGAATCTGGGAGGGTGAGATGAGATGAGATGTGTATGGAGAGCGAGGGGGGTTTCGTTTGTTGACTTGTTTTATCACTTGATTGATTTACTATGGTATGGAAGTATGTGTAGATGTACATGCATGCACCGTACGGCGTGTGAATGGTGCATACTCCGTTGTCCATAGTGTAGTTTTCACTTACCTTGGAGCTCTCCCCAGACATTCACATACACCCACTTCCACAGTTACAAGCAGCAACATAGCCAGAAACCCGACAAACACCAAACACCAACGACAGAGCACACACATGCACACGTACTTTCGTATCTACCCCGCCTCACTCTTCCTCTGTTTAGATTTGCTTTCTCTTTTATCGGTTTCGTGTAGCGTGGGGCAGGCTCTCTCTGGTCCCATGTTCCCTCCCTCCGTCCCCTCCTGCTCTTCCTTGGCCGTTCTGGGTGTTTGGTACACAGTGGGTAGCTTTAGGCAGGTTTAGCCAAACGCACGACCTCCGTCCGGTTCTTAAGACCCATTTCTTACTACTGCTGCCGGTGTTGCTGTCGTGTAAATCTAACAACCATCTATCGGCTGTGGTGTCTTGTGTGCGTGTGTGTGCGTACATAGTTCGAAAACGGCATAGTCCCGTGTGCCACGGTGGTACGAAATGTTACGAGGGGTTGAGGTTAGTGGTATGCTGTGTTCTGCAGCGTGCGTCTGCAGGAGTGCGTTTTGCTCTACTTGGCACTTGTGGTTTGTTTG